GGGAAAAAAGAGATTCCCCAGGATGGAAGGGGAGCCTTGTGTTTCTTTCCTGTGGATGTGAGGTGCACTTACGGGGGTGCTGGGAGGAACAGGGCAGGGGCCTCGGCCCTCGGGCAGCCCGTAGAAGCTGATCTCTGTCCCCAGATGCCACGTTACTACCCCCGGCACAAAGGTGTCTGTGGGGAAGGCTGTTCCTGAGCGCCAGGAAAGCCATAGGTGAGCTGGGATACAAAAGAGTGTTCAGAGAATGTGGTGGTGGAGCTCCACATCAGGCTGGTCCTGAGAGCGCTTTCCCTGGAACGCTTGGTCACATGTCAGCACGGAAAAATCATCCAGGGAACAGCGCGGATGGTCACCCATGTCCGGCCAGCACTCAACCTATAACATGAGTACCGTCATCACAAGAGACCTATGTTCTCGGTGTGGCCCGCAGCTTGGACCAGGCGCTCGCAGGGGTGACGACTCGGCACCCCTCGGTGGGTTGCGGCTCATGCAGCCCCTGCCTCCCAGCACGTGCCCCCGCCCTTGGGCAGAGGATCAGATTTTTACTGATTTAGGGATGCACTTCATTACTTTGAGAACTGGCTCGTGGTGGCTGTTGAGATCAGGGTACTGTTCATCACTAATGCAGTTCAGAGTAAATGCTTTAAGTCGCTTTGCTTTGAAAGTATTTGAAAGCTGAGACCTGATTGCGGTGAGCTGGGTCTCTTCCAGATGGCGGTGGCTGCTGTGTGTGGGGTGTGGTTCTGAGCGCTTTACACGCAATCCTGCAGCCACCTGTGAGGGAGGGAGGTGCCAGCACCCACGTTGCACAGATGGGGAGACCCAGTGCGTGGAGGGGCTGAGGGCGTTGGCAAGGCCTCGTGGGTTCCCTCCTCCTAACTGGGCAGCGTGGCTGGAGCACACACCTGAGCCCCGTGCCGCACTGCCCTCCACCTGGGGGGAGCCCTGAGCACTGCGATGACCCACTCGGGTGACCCGCCGTGACGCAGGCTGCTGTTAGCACTTCCTGTCCCCTCTGTCCACTTCCCTTTTGTGTTGCTTCAGGATGTGGGATGAAAACAAGCTTTTTAAACCATGAAATTGATGCTAATTTTATAAAACACAAGCTTACCAACTTTGTTACTACATTTCAAAATTACTTAGCATAATTTCTAGTCTCTAATATGTTACCGTTATAGAAAATTCAACTGATGTAGGAGTATAAAGAAAAACGTGAACATCTGATTTTTTTTTCCAAAATGAATTTTTTTACCTTTTGCTTTGTGAACTGAACTCATTTTACCCCCCCCATCCAGACCCAAGTCTCTGTTTACGTACTGGGAAATTCCTCCACCAGTGTGTGTAAAAGATGGTGCCCTTAAAAATATGCTTATTTCTGCACAAAAGCTGCTCCCTGCATCCCTCTGACAGCTGATGACTGGTGACGTTCCTCGGGCCCCATGGGAGCTTCGTTTAACAGAAGCAGTGGGGGGGGACATGGTGACGAGTGATGTCTGGGGGACTGGTGCCCGTGTTTCTCCGCACCTGTGAGTGGGTTCTGGCGATCCTGCAGGAGGACACTGGTATGGCAGCAGGGAGCAGCGGCCTGGAAGTGACTGTCCTTGGCACTTTGAAAACAAAGATCATGCTGTTCTTGAAGTTTGTGTGTTTTTGTTTTTCTTGTTTTAGGCAAGGCAGAGAGAAAAAATGAATGAAGAACATAATAAACGTTTATCAGACACTGTTGACAAGCTTCTTTCAGAATCTAATGAGAGGCTTCAGCTTCATCTGAAGGAGAGAATGGCTGCTCTGGAAGACAAGGTGAGGTGCCCCCATGTCACTGGGGGCCCCCTTCAGAGAGTGCGTTTCTGCTCTGTGCCTGAGGAGTGACACGTAGCAGTGGCCAGCGACTGTCACACACAGTAGATTCTTCATGGAGGAGGAAGTACCAGCTGTCATCCACTCCCCGAGTTAGCCGGCACCCCTCATGTCCTGCCAGGTTGTGTGTGGGGAGCTCCGGAACAGGAGTGGGGAAGCTGTCTCTATGGAGGCTGGAGAGTGAGTGGTCCAGGCTTTTACTGGTTATGAGTGACTGAGTGAAACAGCTTGTGCTAATCAGGAGCTAGAGCGACAGTAGCCGCGGACGGCACGCAGAGGAGTGGGCGGGCTGCGTGCCGGTGGAGCGTGACTGCAGAAATGGCGGTGAGCCGGCTTCGGCCGCCGGGCCCTGTTTTGCCGTCCCCTGCGGTGGGATCCTTTTTTGGGTCCAGCCCTTGCCCCTTCGTTGCGCTGGTGTTGGAAGTCGGCTTCTGTCTCTTTTATGTGGTGTCACCTGAAGGGTTTAATCAGCTAAAAACAAACACTGGCACAGCCAGCTCCTGCCTGCTCTCTTCTCACCTGGTTTGGAGAATGTCCACGCCCGGACTCGGGCTGCTCTCCTCGTGGACCCGCTTGAGCCGTAAGCAGAGCAAAGGGGTGTCAGAAGCTATGTCAGGGAAGCTCTGATGAGCCGTGCTTGGATTCAGGCTTTCAGAGAACCTGCCCAGGTGCACCCGTGTCCTACAGGATGAGGCCCAGAGCCTTCCCTGGGGTTGGCACCTGGGGTGACCCTTGTTTGAGAGAGACCAGTGGTGACCTCTGATCACGGGACACCTCTCATTTGACACATAGCCCGTTGTGAAATGCGTGATTAGAGACCCCATAGGGCCGTCACCTCAGTTGCTCCCTGGTCAGTGGGCCGGCCTGGAGGTAGGAATATTTTTGTCTTAGATTTGAGTCTTACATCTGAAACATGTGCCAGGTTTCCCCAGTGACCAGTGAGCTGCACAACCTGAAAGCTGGTGAAGTTTACCAGATTAAATTCATGCCATGAACTTCTATCTAGAGAATCTGATAGTGAAGAAGTAAATTTCATGTGTACAGATTAGTGCTGACACTGTCCGTCTGCATGGTTGGCATTCACTCCGTGGGAGCATGACACGCTGTCTAGTACATGCACACAGTCCGTGTCTTTTCTGCGGTGCTTTGTGATTTTAAACAGAAGTATAGCCGAATTGTATTATGTAGAACATTTTTAAGAATGAACACTAAAGGTCTATTTATATGTTTTTTAGAATTCTCTCATACGGGAAGTTGAAAATGCGAAAAAGCAGTTAGAAGAAACGCAACATGACAAGGTACTTAAATCTCTGAGTCTTTTAGAAGTCTGTTAGGAGCTGGACTGAGCCGGGCTCATTGTTGTAATTACTGCAGCTGTCTGGCAGAAGCTGCGTTACATTTTCTCTAGGCTGGTCCCCTCTGTAAGGTGTGTAGCGCTCTCGGCTCTGCACGCCGGCCGCATGTGTGTGGAGCCCGGCGGCTGTGTGCGCTCCAGGGTTCTGAGTCCTCCCTGGGTTCGTCTGAGAGCACCAGCGTCAGCCTTCCACCCGGAGCAGCGCGGCCCTGCAGAAAGATGCCTCGAGCCATGTCGTAATCTAGAATTTCCTCGTAGCCACGTTTGAAGCAGTGAAAAGAAGCAGGCGAAATTAATTTTATTTAATCTAATGTAGTCAAAATGTTCTTTTATCATGTAGTTGATATCGAAGTTAATGAGCTACTTGACTTTTTTTCACTTGAAGTCTTTGAAATCTCCCTTGCCTGTCACAGTCGTGGCCCATCTCCATTCAGGCTGGCCCCTTTCCAGGTACCCAGTGGCCACTCTAGTGGACAGTGCAGATCTGGAAGGTTACTGGGTGCCTCCAGAAATGTATCAGTTTTCCTTATTGTTTTGCTGGGTACAGAAATGAAGTTGGGCGGACAAATGATAAGTGTGTGAATGTGTGCTCAATGTAGGGCTGTTAAAAATAATCAGAGATGTCAGTGCAGTAGCCGGTGACTGTTCCTCACATCCCGCCACAGAGTTCTGCTTCTCTCTGCAAAATGCGTTATTGTTAAGGCTTGGTGTTTATCGTCTAACAACTTCCCTATGACCGAGATATAACTCCCTGTTCACTAGGATTTATAAAGTTAATTTGGTGGTTTGAGTATTTGTGTTTGCTCTAGGACTCTTAGCAAAAATTTTCTCAGAATTGAAGTGTTGGGTATTTATAACTGCTAATGTGAACTGTTATGGTTATGTTCAACATGTGAGCACATTGGATGCAAGTAATTTGAATCCTGGAAGAGATGGCTGCCACGTGTGTCATTTGCTGTTTTGTAGGACCAGCTCATACTAAACCTGGAAGCGCTGAGAGCTGAGCTAGACCAGGCGAGGCTGAGAGGAGCTCCCCTTCACCATGGGTATGGCGCTCAGCAGGTCACACTGCATTTCGGCACCTGCCGTGTGGGTACCAGGGCAAGCCGTTGGCTGTATAGACGGTGTGACTGGATATAGCTCGTGGTCCAACGTCAAGGATCCTGTAGCTTGGTGGCAGGCAAGAGGGGCAGGTCAAACTCCGTTCCACAGGTTAGATCCTGGTGCTTCGGAGCGTGGTGGGCACATCACTGACAAAGCTCAGAAGCACCGGCGGGCAGTGGGCTGCTGGGTGGGCCAGTGAGGGGGGTGCCCTTCTCCCCACCTTGACCGGGTCTGACTTGACCAGCAAAGCGAGTTCACTTTTCTTCTAATAACGATCTTTTTCTCCCCCGTGTTTCAGCCGACCCCACTTGGGCAGCGTCCCGGATTTCAGGTTCCCGGTGGCAGACGGGCCCGCGGAGCCCTACGGTGGCAGCGCGGTGCTGCGGCGCCCGCAGAAGGGCCGGCTGGCAGCACTCCGAGACGAGCCTTCCAAGGCAAGGGCCCCGTCAGCATCAGTCGCCGCTTTCCTTGTCCTGCGATTTTGGGGCTGTTTTGGAGCAGAGGCGTTCGTTGATAGGTCGCTTTCTCTCCCCTCCCCATGCTGTTTGCCTTTCTCTAGCTAAGTGTTTACTGACTTTTAAGGCATGCGTTTTTTTTTTTAAGAAGAAATTCTGATAAAATATGACCTACTCTTAAGTGCAGCACAGTGCTGACTATACTACAGTTTTGAAGTAGTAATTAAGAGTAAATGAATACACATGTGCATCGTCTTTTAGTGGGAAGGATTCTCATTTGGAAGTTTAAATACTTTCACATTTTTGTCTGTTTTATAGTATATATTTTCATGTATTTCTCTGTATTTTGAGCGCCCATGTTCAGTGAACAGCTAATGTGGGCCAGGCGTCGTCATAGACCTAGGGCTATGGCCGTGGATAAAAACCAGACACAGTGCCCTGGGTGCACGTGCCATTTACAGCAGTAAATGAGAAGTCAGGTCAAGTCTGGCATGTGCGTTAGCTGCCATCACTATGTGTAGGTCACTACAGAGCTTAGTGGCTTAGCAGTGCATGCTGAGTGGGTCTCGGTTCTGTGTACTCGGGAGCATCCCAGCGGGATGGTTCCGGCGCAAGGCCACCTGGGGTGGCCGCCGCTGGAAGGCTCAGCTGGGGCTGAACGGTGCCCTCCAGACTCACTCACCTGGCGAGGGGACCTTCTTCTGGGCTGGCTTTCCTTAAAACTCACTAGGGGAGAGAGGAGGGGAACGCCCCAGAGCCTTTTACATCCCAGTTTTGGAAGCCACACAGCTTCACTGCCACTGCATTCTGTGTGTCAGAGTAGGCTGCTAGGTCCTGCCCTCATTCGTCGGGGCTTGGTGGGGAGGAGCCCCTCTGCCTCTTGAAGGGAGGGGTATTAAAGAATTCACAGACGTGTTTTTAAACCACCCACTATGTCAGGTGGTAATACGCAGGGAAGGGAAACCGGGGGTACTGCAAGTTGGAGAACGAGGAGGGGATAATAATTTTAAACAGAGTGGCCACCACTCTGTTTAAAGAGTGGTATCACCAGAGGCAGACATTTAGCAGAGACCTGGAGAGGGGAGAGAAGGAGCCACTTGGAGGTGAGAGGTCGTGACAGGAAGCTAGGCTGGTGGATGGGTGTCAGGTGCAGGAGAGAGAGGTGGGCCGGGGGCCCAGGGCTCAGTTTTGAGCAGCTGAAGGACAGAGTCTGTTTCCTGCAATGGGGAGCCTGTGGCATTGGGGAAGGCTGGGAGTTGGGCCCTGGTCTTGCTCAGTAGACGGGCCAATCAGATGTCCAAGAGGACGAGTCAGGTCGGCAGTTGGCTATTCCAGCCCAGACCCAAGAGAGGTCCCAGCTAGAGATGGACTGGGGGTCATGAGTGTGCAGATGGTATTTAAAGGCCTGCAAGAAGATGAAGTCACCAAGTAGGTGCCAGCGGGTAGAGAGATGAGGTCCAAGGACAGAGCCGCCAGGCACCCCAAAATTCAGAGGAGGACAGGGAGGTTGAGAAGGGGCAGCAGGAGATAGAGGAGGAAACCCGGGGAGGGCGGGGCCTGGAGCCTCGGGGTAGCAGGGAGCATGAGGAAGGGTGAGGAAGGGTGGGTTCGGTAGTGGGTTTGATGGGCACCGTGGAACAGCTCTGCTGGAGGGGGCGCACGGCCTGCTTGAGCTAGTGGAGATCTGGAAGAAGTGGGTGGAGACGGAGTAGAGGCTGTGCTTGGGGAGCAGAGAAAGGCAGTGGTAGCTGGAAGGGGACGTGCAGTCTGTTGTGTTATGTTGAGGAGGAGGAGAGAGAAAACGTTCTGAGGCTGATGGGAATGAGCCAGTAGAAAGTTGATTGGCCGGAGCGGAGGAGGAAGGATGGCAGAGGATCCTGGAGTGAGTCGGCGGAGATGGGGATCTGGCCGTGGGGAGGGGTCCTGGGAGGGAAGACCAGGTGCAGGGGCACAGGCCCCGGGGCCTCTTGAGGCTCCTGCGGTTGCTGGGAGGTTGTGTCTGGGAGGTGGGAGCAGGGCCCTGGGCTGAGAGAGGGTGGGAGGGGGGTTGGGGCAGCCCCAGAGGAGAGGGGTCCACACCTTTCACATTTGTTCTGATGACAGACGCCCTCCCTTCGGAGGGGACTTGGGCTCAGCGTAGATGTGCCTTTTCTCCGTGAGTTGCATTCCCTAAAGGCCCCGTCTGCAGCTCCATGTCACATGCCCTGAGAAGAGAGCTTGTAGGGCTGGCCCTGTCCTCCGTTCTGCCGCTGCTGGCTTCTGCCTGTGCTGTTGCCTTAAAAGAGGGGACTAGGAACCTCCCAAAACTCAAGTTGTGTGTTACTGGATGACACCAGTAAAAGTTGTGGCCAACTGGGGAGCTGGTAGCTTTGGATCCGATTAATTTTTTTACTTCCCTTTAGCGTGGCTGATTGTGGCACAGGTGTTATTTTTGTACTTAGTTTTTGAGTTCTGTTTCTGACTTGGTCAGTCCAGCGTTGTAAGTAATGTCGTACAAGTTCCTCCCGTCCACGTTAAAGCTTGGATGCCACCGGGCATTCTAAGAGATAGATCATCCTCCTTTTCTGTTCCTTAGACACTGCTTTTTGCTTAATAGATGTCAGCAGCTTATCACCGTGGCCCATTTTTCCAGAATCGTTTGGGCTTCTGTTTAAAATCTTTATGCTCCTGGAGGATCTGAGCTGCTGTGACCGTCGCCGTTTAGACACGGGCCTCTCCCCCGCAGGTGCAGACCCTGAACGAGCAGGACTGGGAGCGCGCGCAGCAGGCCAGCGTGCTGGCCAACGTGGCCCAGGCGTTTGAGAGTGATGTGGACGTGTCCGACGGCGAGGACGACAGGGACACGCTCTTCAGCTCGGCTGCTCTGCTGTCGCCCAGCGGGCAGGCCGACGCACAGACGCTGGCCATGATGCTGCAGGAGCAGCTGGACGCCATCAACAAGGAGATCAGGTGGGCACGGGCGTCTCTGCGGGGTTGGGTTGCACTTGTGGTCGTGCGCGGCGCCAGGGGTGCAGGTGTCGTCTCTGCAAGGTTGGGTTGCACTTAGAAAAGTCTGGAACAGGTCCTGTGAATATCTTCTGAATGTTCCATGACGATAAAACTGACTTCAGTTGTCTTTTAAGATTATAAGTTCTGAGATGACCCTTAGTGATAAAACTCAGTTGACCAGGGCATCCCCTCCACAATTGTGGTCTGGGTAATGTTTGTGTGAGAGCTTGCAGAATGTGTTCCGTCCCTGCCCCAAAAGCTAATGCACAGCTGGAGAGAGCTGCAGGGCACACAGGGCCCACCCGTGACGCTCTGGACGCCAGACCAGGGCCCACAGGTTAGGCGGGCGGGCAGGATGCAGAGAGCCGAGACCATGTCAGTCCAGGTGCAGAGGGAGGTGTGGCGTGGGCTGGGGTCGTCTCCCAGGGCAGGGCCGGATGCAGTCTGAGCGACGGGAGAAACGCCCGGTGCAGGGGCAGGTGTCAGGGGAGCTCCGGAGGATGGGGGGCACTCTTCGGCAGCACTTCCCTCCAAGTGAGCCCCGAAGGGGGCGAGGTGCCGAGGTGGCATCCACTTGCGGCCCGCGCATCCTCTGGCACTGACGGGTCATCCCAGGTGTCCCTCGTGTTTTCAGGGGTGGCGCAAAGCCGCCAGGAACAGAAAGCTGGGGGTTTCCCGTTGGTAGAGTCTCACTCATACTTGGATTTTGCTATATGGAATTAACTTAATGTGAAAATTGTTTCATTGAAAGACAGGGATCAAAGGATGTGTGTTTGAGTATTTCAACATATTTAAGATGTTTTCCTGAGAAACCCTCTTAGCAGTTGTAATAGTTAATTTACAAAACAATAGACCAGCTATGGAGTAGAATCCAAAGGATGGCCTGTGTGGTCAAGAGGCCATGGCTCTGGGCGCAGCAGGATGACCAGGCGCCTGAGACCTGCCCTGGGTCAGACCTGACACAGCCACACGACCAGTCCTGAGTCCCCGTGAAGCTGCCACAGGCCAGCGGATCGGACAGGGCTGCCGCCCAGGGTGTGCTGGTCCTGTTCCTGCTCCTGCCTGGGGAGAGCAGGAGGTGGAGACAGGCGCAGGGTGAGTGTCAGACAGTGAGGAGCGGGCGTCTCCTTAGAGACGGGCTGTCCCTGTGCAGCACGGAGGAGTCTGACAGGTTCCTTCCCATCCCTGTGGGAAATGCGGAAGGGCTGTGTACTTCAGGTTTTATTCCTATAGTGCGTTGCTGGGCAAAAGTGGTTTTTCCTTATGCAGCAAGTTGACCTGATAAAATGGTAAATTCTATCCACTGACTTGTCAATAATAAAAAAAATACTTTCAGGATGTATATGTAGAATTTAAATTGGGAAGGTTACTACAAGGATCCTGTGTTTTAATATAAAAATAATTACTTGTATAGTCAAATATTTGAACTGCTGTTTAAATATCCACTATACACTAGGGTAGAAGAGCAATTATCTTGAATTCTAAGTTAATGCAGCGTGGTTGACATGAATCCAGAAATTCAGATGAGTCTGGTAGAGAATTTCATCAAATAACACTTCTGTTCAAATTAACCTTTAAACAACTCAACTCAACATTTTCATCTAGTCTAGACTTCAGTGTTTAGAAATTCCTAATTGCTTTGCTTTGTGAGTTGGTTTTTTTCTAATTATTATTATATCAAGAGCTCCCAGTTTCTAGTTGAAAAAATTGATAGATGTGCAGCTTTGCTCCAAGACTCGGGACGGTGAGAGTCATAAGATGCAGATCCCTCACTAAGCACAGTAAGAGTTGCCATCCAGGCCCATCAGAATTTTAGTGTAAGTAAGTGAGATGAGGCATAAGTGACTAGAAGTAGCTTTATGAGGCTCAGTGGTAAGTTGTTGTGAATTTGACTGTATTACGAAGGTAAAAAGTAGGGTATTTCTGCGGAGATGTCGATCTCTCTAGTTGCTGGTTGTGAGCAGACGCAGGTTTGTCGTCCGTTTGCTGACAGAGGAGGAATGACGGTTTGTTTCGTCTAGGTTGATACAGGAAGAAAAGGAGAACACGGAGCAGCGGGCAGAGGAGATCGAAAGCCGCGTGGGCAGCGGGAGTCTAGACAGCCTCGGTCGTTTCAGATCGATGAGCTCCATTCCCCCGTACCCCGCCTCCTCGCTCGCCGGCTCCTCCCCGCCGAACAGCGGGCGGTCCACCCCGCGAAGGATCCCGCACAGCCCGGCCAGGGAGGTGGACAGACTAGGTATCATGACTCTGGTGAGTACGCCTCCTCCCTGCCGCCGCCCCCACGCGCCGCAGTTAGCTCTTGGACAGGGTGGTGGGCCTTTTGTTTTAACCCAGAAGAGAACAGGTACAGTTGCTGGGCTCAGAGGTTCCAGACTTTAAAACCAGCTGGTGTTTAATCAGTTAATGATAGCACAGTGACAGGCTGACTTGACTGTTGGGATGGCCAGCTTAGCTTGTCACCGTGACCTCGGGTGACTTCGGGCAGGGGCCTGCGCGGCCCAGCAGCTGCAGGTGAAGGGTTGTCGTCTCCTGGAACGGGCAGTGTGACAGGAGAAAACACAGGCAGTCCTCGCGGCAGGAGGGAGGTGCATTGAGAGCCTGCCGCCCACCCGCGCGAGGGTGCAGGGCGCACAGCCGGAACGGACCAGGCCGCTCCTCGCGCCCGCTCCACGTGGGAGGCAGGTGAAGGCCGCAGGCTCGAGGCGCCCAGGGAGGCAGCCAGGCCTCTTCACTCTCCAGCGTCTGGAAAGGCCATGACCTTACGATTTCTGGTGGCAGAGTGCAGCTCAAAAGCGCGCGTCGTAACTTCCATGTGTGTTTAGTGCAGGGTTTGTGGGCACATTGCTGTTGACTACGTGAAACCACGTTTGCAACATTTTGCCTTCTAACTGTACTTTTTTTCTGTTTCTGCCTGTTTTCATTTTAGTTGCACTGTTGGCCAACACGTAATTAAATCAGCTGTAAATCATGTTAGTGGCACATGAAGTGGCACTAGTCCATTTTGTGGTGTTTTGACATACTGTCTTTGTAATTCACCTCAGTAACTCATTAGCTAATATTTACAACTCTGACAGCTTCGTTTGTGGCTTCATGCTTAATTGCTTTCAGAGAATTTATGAAACCAGTTGTTTTCCCTTGTCTTTGTGATTCTGCACACTGGCTGACAATGTCTGCCGCCATCATTGGTTTTGATCTCCCGTGTCATCCTTTGTTTTATTTTAATTGTCAGTCCAGACCCCAGCCTCCCCAGCCCCCAGGTCTGTAATTTATCCCTCCAGCTCCTTCCTGGTCCGTCCCCCCGCCATTATAACTCCCTCCCACGCCTGCCCCGGCCACTGCGACGCTGTGGTCTCAGTGTGTCCGTGCCTGGTCGTGGCTCATCAGTGGGGTTTCCGCTTTGTCTTCATTTCTCATTGAACAGTGTCTCCCCGTGGCGGTAAGTTTTCATTAGCGTGTCCCTGGGTAACAGGTATGGTTACACGCATGCTGTGGGTGGAGCAGAATGTGTTTACACAGACTGTGTACGGCATGTGTCATTCATTCATGAGGGAAATGTTTCTTACATGAAGAAGCCACCACCACATGCCGGATTAATGGACACGTGACACTAATGTATACTTTCTGGTTTTGGTGCTTGTATTTAAAACTAAATCTCATCTACTTACTGAACGTACACAGTTAATGTCCTTAATGGGCTTTAAAATTAAATTATCTTCTATGAATCATAGAGTGTAAAGATTCCACTGCTACTATGCTAGCTTTTATTCTTACATATTTACACAGGGCACCTGCTTTAATCAATAAGTTTATTTTGAGAAGTTTTAACTCAGATTCTAGGTAAGGCTCTTACATTCATGCCCAGTAGGTGGTTAGATCTGTTCAGTGTTAAAATAGGTATTGCAGTAACTTCCTCATCAATTAGAGTGACGCTTGACAGTGTGACTTGTTTTTTATTAAGAAAAATTAAGTTACAGAGAAGCTTCGCTTAGAGTGGGCAGCTAGGGCCCTTTGTTGATCCAGAATGCCACAACTTAATAATCTGAGTTACGTTGTAATAGAATTACATCTTCCTGAGTGATAACTTATACTGTTTCTCTAGTAGATCTTAAATGGCTTATTATATTTAACTTTTGTAGTCAAAGAATGTTCTATTTCCAGTCTACATTTTCTCTAAATCTGATCTCACTTTTATGTGTTCTGACATTCTCTTTTTAATATATTTGCTTGTACTGAGTCTTGAATTTTTAACTTCAAAGTGTACAATCAATCTGGTTTTCTCTTCATTTCTTTGCATGCATCTGTCAGCCTAGTGATTTAAGGAAGCATCGGAGAAAGGTAAAATACTTTGTGATTTAACATGCCTTCGTGTCTCTGTGACGTGTTGAAGAGTATCTGCCGTTTCATGGCAACAGACGCCACGTGGTTGTGTTCTGAGGAGTGCTGACATTTCAATGGAAACGTTGAAACTTATCCAGCACGTAACACGTGCTGATGGCTGTTGGAAACAGGTCATTCACTAGTGGTTTTATAGAACATTGGGACACACATTAGAGTTTGCCCCTCTCCCACCTGTTTGCCTTCTAATCGTCGCATGTTTATTTATAACAGACGGAGTGTTTTTGAGAAAGAAATTACTGAAGCAGAACTATAGATGTTAGGTTTGGGGAATGCCAGTTTTAATCATCACAGGTAGCAGCGTGTAGTGAGCGCTTGCTGTATGCCCAGCACGACCCCACGCGCATCCACACGAGGTGCGGGTGCTGTCGGCCCCCGCGTGACAGAGGCCGGGCGGTGGGCTGGGGCCGCCCAGTCAGGAGGTGCTGCGGTGTGGGCTCGACCGCGTAGCCCCGTCAGCACCCAGCCACTCTCTCTCCAGATGCTCTCGCCTCCCTCATGGCGTCCCTGACAGAGGGAGCTCGAGGCCTCTGGTCCCCACAGATGGCCCTGGATTGGGCCTCCCTGTTCTTGGAGAAAGCACAGTGCGTTAAGGAACAGGCTTGTTGACCAAGACATCTTCCTCATGACAGTCACGCTCTGGTCCCTGGTCTGTGCCCTGTATGGAACCTGCTCGGGGTGCCCTTGTAGCACGGACCCCACGGGCCCTGCGCTGCCCTTTAACCAAAGCAGTTCAGTGCAGCGAGCAGGGTGGCGCCTGGGGAGCCCCTCAGCTGAGTCTGCCGTTGCATGAACTCTTGGGCTCCAGTCCCCCTGTGCCACCAGTGGGCTTGTGACCTGGCCGTGCTGCTCGCCACTGTGTGCCCTGCTTGCTCTCCTGTTAGGCACAGGTGGTGATAGACCTGCGCTCGCCGGGGTGGCCACGCCGTGCCAGTCTGCACGGTCTGCTGGCGTTGAGATGCGGAGCTCACTCCCGCAGTGAGACACAGCTCTGCTGACCTGTGTTTGTGTTTCTCTTGGTAACAAGACCTATTCAGTGCGGGAAGTAGTGTGTTGACTTCCATCCAGGTGGGACAGCCTGCTGCGTTGCTTGTGGTGTCTTGAGCTCGCTGACTGGCTGCGTAGAGGGCCTTGTTCTGGGTGTGTATGTGCGCGTGTGTGCAGGGGACCAGGCGCCGTGCAGACCTGTCTCCTCCTCCGCGTCGCTGGTGTGTGCTGAGAGCCCTCCCAGTTTCCGTGCAGCTTCCCGTCGGGCCGTGTCCTGAGGGTGCCGCCAGGGGAGAGGGCCGCCAGGCCGGGGAGCCCAGGGCTCCTTTGGGAAGTGACTTGCCGTGTTAGCTGGGCTCTCAGGCAGCTGTTAGTCTCCGCTGAGTCGACGGTCAACTCACACTCAGTGTCGTTCCCCTGACCTATTCTCTGTTGTTCTTTGATTTTTATAAGTGACCGTTTTGACTTGAACTTGAGATTTGTCCCTGTTGCAATTCATACTGATAACATCTAGCCCTTGGAGCTGCTTGCGGCCCGGTGGTTGTCACTGGAAATCAGGAGCGGGTGCACAGCTGGGCCAGCTGTGGCTTAAATGAGTGCGGCTCCATTTTGTGCTGATCCACATGGTTGTCACCAAGCCACCATGGGGCTGCAGTGGGTCGCTGTTCTTTACAGAATCCCATTCAGAAGTGTGGGCTGGCTGCTCAGGTCTCTGTTTACACAAATGCTTCACAAAACCCAGCCTGGCTTAACCACAAACCCCACATTCGTAAGTAAGGCCTTCTTGGACCCGGAAGGGGTTAATCTGTCCCCGTTCTGTGACCACCACCCTGCTTCCCACACCCACATTCCATTACAAACGGAAAAACGAGGTGCCTAAAAGACCTTTTAATGAAGACCTCAGGTTACTCTATCTAAGCTGTATTGAACAAATTATCTTTAAACTGCATATAAGCACTCTGTTTATAACCTCCAGTCTAAACATCGAAATACAAGCCAGATGCACGTGTGTTCAGGTGGAGGGGTTAGAGCTCTTTCCACTCTTGAAACCGTTGTTTCAGGGCCTGGTAGCTGGCATCTAACCAAGACCAGTGCTGGGTCATGGCGCAAGCTATTTCTGTTTTCCCTCAGATGGAGAGGTCTGGACGGCTTTGCCCACAAGGCTTCTTACCCTTGCTAGTGTTCTCCTCTGGAGTGGCATCAGGTGATAAACACATCCCTCCTCTTCATCGGGGACGGTCAGTGCCACCCACAGATCGTGGAGACTCGGTTTCAGGCAGGGCTCAGGTCTCAGCTGTCCTCGGGGCGGCGTGGGGCCCGGGGGGCAGAGCTGGCGGCTGCTGTCTGGTCTCTGCACTCACTCCAGTGCGGGCGGGCAGGACTCGGCTCTGCTCTGTGCTCCCTCTGCTCCACGGTCCTGCCTCTCATGAACAAGACAGTCCCTTGAAAGGGCATCAGGCTAAAACAAGGCTTTTTGTCCTTGGCAGAAAGCACAGCTAATAGGTTTCCAAGTAAGTTTACGTTTATAATGTAAAGCCTATGTGCTTTCTTTCTGTGTGTGTCACCGCCTGCTATTAACTGACTTCACATTCATCTCGCTCCCTCAGTTGCCGGCTTCCCGAGAAGAGGTACGAGATGACAAGACAGCCATAAAATGTGAAACATCCCCGCCTTCGTCCCCACGGCCCCTCCGAGTGGACCGGCTGCACAAGGGGGCGCAGCACACGGTCAGCCATGAGGACATCAGGGACGCGCGCAAGTAAGGGGCCGGGTCTCCTCGAGCCCAGCGTCAGGGAGCCTGGTCCTCTCTCACTGGGGGAAGGTCAGGGGGCCGGCCCTGCTGTGGGAGTGGAGCACAGTCCAGCAGAGATGTGTGTCTGTCTGGGCAGAGTCCATTTGGAGAGAAAAGAGTTAAATGATGTCAGCAACAGTAGAAAAGCTTTACTTCTTCCGAGTCCGCAGACTGGCTCCTTTGGGAACGTTCTTTGTATTCTTGGGTGGAGCACTGGCCCAGCACGGGGATGTTTCTGATGGTTCCCTTGGCAGGACTCAGTGCCCCCGGACACACTCTTGCCCTCTTTGAGCTGTTAAGAGTTCCAGCCCATCCTTACCGGTTCACCGAGCGCTCCCTCTCAGGAAACCGTTACTGACAACCTCCTTTGTCAAACCACCGCCTGTTGAGCTTTTGTCCCAAACCAGACAGCCCTGGGTAGAGGGCACCCGTGCTAACCTCTGCATCACCCCCGCGGCGGTGCCCAGGGCTCCTGCACGGCCGGGGTCACGCTCGGGGCGGTGGGAGATCCCGCATTTGTGGGGGCACCTTCTCTAGCCGAGAGGCTGCCCCGAGGTGGGGTCGGCGAGCTACCGGCAGCAGTCTCCGTTGTGCTCTCCCTGGGAGCCTGTGTCTGTTAGCGTCACGTGTTTGGTGAAGGTTCGCGTGGAGGAGACTTGCGGTGGTTGCTGTGAGGTCTGCAGCGGGAGTGGTGAGCGTGTGCGCTGCTCTGGCTCATGCGAGTGGAATGTTTTGTTGTGTGAGGGCACTTACTAAAGATCATTTTCTGTCCCCAAAGCTCGACAGGCTCACAGGACGGCCCCGTGAGCAACCCCAGCAGCAGCAACAGCAGCCAGGACTCGCTGCACAAAGCCCCCAAGAAGAAGGGCATCAAGTCGTCCATCGGCCGCCTGTTTGGCAAGAAGGAAAAGGGCCGGCCCGGGCCCATCGGCAAGGAGGCACTTGGACAGGGTCAGTGGTTTCCTGCGAGGTCCTGACCGTCTGGAGAGGGGTGGAGGCTGCCGTGTGTGTACCTATTGTGTGCCCCCCCATCGTTCCCACATGGTTCCTTTCCTGTGAGCTTGGTGCTCTCTGGGAGCCAGAGCTACAGAGGCGCACGGCTTCTCAGCAGGTGCACACCGAGCCGGGGGCATGGTTAGCGTCTGTTTGCTTGAACGACTCAGCCTTTTCCAGATGTAAAGGTTCACTGCTTCTCGAGCATTTTTGGGTCCTTGTCATCTAATCAGAAAGTTCGCCTTTAGAGTCTTTTTCACTCTACCTGCAAATCCTCTTACCTTCAGCAGGACTTGTTAGCATATGAGGTTACTGAGCCCATAAAACTAACCACCCCACAAAACCCCTAACTTGGCCACGTTGATTCTCTCACAATATTTTGACCACTCTGCTTCCTCATATCTGGTGTTTCAGAGACAGAAAACTCATCTCCAGATGCCTTGGGACTCAGCAAATTGGGAGGACAGGCTGAAAAAAATCGTAAACTTCAAAAAAAGTAAGCTTTTTGTTTTTGTCCGTCTCCCTGAGTGTTTTTCAGTTTCCTAATTTTTCACTAATGCTCATTTATTAAACGTAATATCTAGCTTTGTATGTATATTATTATCTGAAAGCTTAACCTAAAGCCTTTATTAAGTTATACTTTTTGGAGGACTTTGAGCATCTCTAAAATTTGGGAAGGACTCACACTTGGGTTCCCAGTCTACTTTGGAAAGTTGTCTCACAAGGACGTGTGTGGTTGAGTCCGGTTCAGCCTTAGAGCGTTTGAATCTGAATCCTGGCTCTGGTGCACATTAGCTTCGGTGCCTTGGGCAAGTTCCTTAGCATCCCTGGGCTCCAGTTTTCTCATCTGTAAGATGGGGTGATAGGAGTCCATCCCTCATGGGGCATTAGCTCCACACCCACGTCTACATAAACATACGCAAGGCGGGCCAGACAGTGCCAGCACATCCTGAAGTCTGTGCAACTGCGTGTCTGACCACAGCCGCTGCGGGACCTTGATCACCCGCCTTCAGAGATTCGCTGTTCATGCCAGTCGTCTACCAGAGTATTCACTAACTGTGGTGCCCTTTGTTTTTCCTCCTCTGGTAGGTTTTGTATTTTTATCTTAAATACAGTTTTAGTTTTATAATCTGTTTATTGAATTTTAATTCTGAGTTGCCACGATCCTGAAAATGTGTGGTAACAGTAGGGATAGTCTCCACAGAGGAGCCCAGGCGCTGTGATGCCCTGGGGTCAAGTGCAAAGGAACAGTGTGCGCATGTCTCTGGGTCCAGAGACATTTTCTGATTCAAACATGTTGTGTGTCAATGGACCGCATGTAAAACCAGAGTTAAGTGGATGAGCTAAATAGTCTGAGACGCTCCCAGTCAAGTGACAACTGAAAAATAAAATGGAACACTCATCTGAACCACAAAAGAGGCAGCTCATAGTCCAAGAGGTGGACACTGACCTGGACGGTGGGGACGATGATGACAAGGTAACACTGGGCTTTGAGACTGGGTGACACTCGGTGGGTCCGTGATAAACATGCTGGGGGAGGTCATCTGGCCCCTGTCAAGTGCCTTGAGGAACTGTCTCAGGAGAAGGGGCTCGAGGGGCTGGTCGTGTCCCAGGTCTCGGGCGAGTCCCTGGAGCGTGCCTGCCAAGCGAGGGTCCTTGGCTTCGTGCGGGAAGGAATTCAGGAGCAAGTCATAGTAGAGTGAAAGCAGGTGGATGAGCGTGCCGGCTGGCTCAGGAGACCGAGGCCCCAGGTGCGGGGCGGTTAGCTTTATGGGCTCAGTAACTGCATATGCTAACAAGCGGGAGGATTCTTCCAACTACTTTGGGGAGTTGGGCCCCGCCCACATTTTGGTCTGGGGTGGTGTGCTGTGTGAATGTGTCATGAGGCTCAGGGTCACCAGACGTCGGGTCTCCCGCCGTCTTGGGCTTAGTCGGCTCTGACGAGTTTTGGTCGTATCCTCAATGGCTCTGCTCTGTCTTTTCACGGTTGTGCCCTGCTCCCTTCCCTCCTGTCTCAAAACCTTCCGTGGTCTGGAACCAGGGCCTCCAAACACTGACCCCCAGCACCACCCGTGAGCCCCAGGGACCCTCCCCCCAGAGGCCAGTTTGCCTTTAGCCCCTGGAGCTGCTTGTGTGGAATCTGCCTCATTTTAGTTCTCGCCTCAGAAATCTCCGTTGTTTCGCCCAGCACACTAGCCATTATGTTTCGGGTGCAATGCTGTTGCTCCTGTACGAATGCTTCTGTACGGTGCTGAAGGAATACTCGGTCTTTGGTTCCCTGTAAATGGCAGTTTGTAGAAACCACTGAACAGCAAAGTTTGATTTGAATGTTGCTGTCTTTGAACTGAATAAAACCGTTTTAAAGTAACTTGGGTGATTGCCATTCGGCCGTGTGAGACTCAGGGTTAGAACGAGGCCCTTGGCTCCTGGAACCGTGCCGGGGAAGTTTGTCCCGGGACTTTGCTCCTGTGTTTTACTTCACATCTTCATTCTTGGGTGATGGAGACAGTCAGGTTTTTGAGTGCCCGCGGGTCCTCCCACCCCTCTGCTCCCAAAAGTTTGTCTTTCACATGGGATCAAAAGTAGTATAAATTGGCCAAAATGTATCACTGTGTTTTCTGTATTTGTTTTGTAATTCTTAGGAGATATGCTTGAGTACTCGGCTATGTGAGAAATACTTCATTGGGTTATTTGCCCCCACATGTGATTAAATTTCACGTGCAGGGTGCATGTGTGTTTGTGTGCATGCGCGCACATGTATGCAAGTTTCTCTGGAGCCGTGATGTTCAAGTTGAACTTCTCACTGTCTGTTGCCATAGCTGAGTGGGTAAGAGTGGCTTGTTCTCTGCTCCGGGGTCATGCGTGCCAAGTTCTAGAACGTACGAGTAACTTAACAGCGAACAATTCAAAGTTGGAAGGTTATCTCACGACAGTGGGTAATTTTAGTTCTGTCAGTTAACCAGAGATGAAATTGATGGGGGAAAATACTCCGTTTACAAATTTTTTTAAAATATTTGAGTTTTTCAGAAAAAAAGGTGTCATTCCAATGCAGTTTGATATCAACGGAGTTAAAGGTATAGGAATCGGCGTACATTTCCCAGGAGTGTTTTCTTTTTATTAGCCCTTGATTTATCCCAAAGGTGTTCTTTCAGCTGCTAAATTTACAGCCAAGTACATTCACTTTCAGAGCATCTTCAAGAATTGGTGAAGCTCTGATTCTCAAATTCTGTAAAAACCACGTGAGAACACGGTGGGCACTAGGTCTGACACTCCTGGGTGTTCCTGACATCAGCCCCGTGGGAAGCCATGGCCTGGGGTCCCCCACACATGCCGCCGGGACTCAGTCCCCTTGATAGACAAATAGAGTGCTCCAGGGCAGGTCCATTCGATGGGTGTGCCATGCCAAGCACGTGCTCTGACACGTGCAGCCTTGGTTGTCACCAGCTGCAGGCCCTGGTCCCAGAGTCTTGCTGGTGTCACCGAGAAGTGGCCTCTCCCGCAGACGGCAGCTGCGTGACTGCGTGGCCCAGGCGCCCTGCCTGAGCTGTGTTTGTGAGGGAAAGCGGGAGGTCTCCACTGAGGTGCCTTGGCCTGCTGAGTGTCGGGCTCAGAAGAGCCAGGCGGTGTCCATCGTGTGGGCAGCACCACTTAGATAGCCGTGATCATGGCTCACGCACACTCACCGCAGCGCTGCTGTTGTCATCCACAGACCGCGGGACCTCTGCCTCCCAGAGTGTCTGTCCTCCCAGCGTGTAGCCTGGTTCTAATTGTCTTTCTCCTGCAACTCTAGTTTTAAGGCTGGGAAGCTGCGTCAGTTTACTGCTAGGGCAGGTACTTAGAGAAATCATGCTTCACCCGAGAACATGACCCTTGAGCTCGGAGACAGGACGCAGCTGCGGGCCCCGCATGGTGCGGCCCAGGCCGGGTGGGTGCAGCACTCCCCATGTTACCCCCTCGGGCCTGTCTCCCATGCAGTTCTCTGTGAACTGAGGTCACAGCTGGGAGTGAGACAAAGTCACAGCACAGCATGATGCGGTGCCCTCTAGCAGAGGAAGGAAATACATCACAGACAAAACCAAACGAGTCTTCTCCTTGCTTCAGGGCAGTGGTTTGGGGCCATGGAATCGGGCAGGTGGTGTGCACCTTACCCCCCCGGATGTTGGCTCGTGACCAGGTTCCTCAGAACGGAGTTGGATGCTTTGGGTAGCTCGAAGGTGCAGAGGGATAACGTGGCGTTTAGGGTCCTGCCCCCTGAGTGCTCGTGTTCTGGGCTCGGGAGCTGACGCCTGGAAGAGCTGCAGTTTTCTGGGAAGTTGGCCTGTGGAAGAATAGCTCGTTCCTTTGCTAAGGGTTAGATGCCTGTCATGTTTATGCTTGTAGTTGTGGTGAAGTGGGGGAAATGGGTGGTTGTGTGGACTGTTAGAAAGCGGTCACCTGAGTGAATGGGCCAGTTCGTAGGTTCTACATGGCATCTAAGTCAGGCCCATCACAGATTAAGGAGCTTGGCTGTCTGCACTTGGCCCCCAAGCGGCAGCAAGAAAAGTGCAGTTCCTGGGCCGGGGAGTCACCAGCACAGGAGGGGCAGGAGCGGGGACCCTGCACCTGGTGCTCGCCTCCCGGCGGGGCCTGCGGCGTGCTCCCACCTGGGGTCTCTTTAAAGCTGGTGATGACTCTTTAATCCCGCAAGGAGGGGGTCCTGTAGAGGGTCGCGGGGACTTGCGCTGTGTTTTGTTACTCAGGCAACCTCGTAACATGTTCGAACTGCCACGGAGCCGATGGTTTAGAAGATTAAAGGAAAGTGATGAGATGGGCATTAATACACTTTAGAAAATGTATAAAGAGAACGCGTCTGTTAACGGCACGTGTGTGTGTGATAGCGATTCTTCAATTCAGAACGTCTTGTCATCCGCAGGCACGAACTGCTCGAGGAAGCCCGGCGGCAAGGCTTACCCTTCGCGCAGTGGGACGGCCCCACAGTCGTCGTCTGGCTGGAGGTGCGCGCCCTGCTTTCACCCTGGCTTGAGTGTGTCCGTATGTGAACATGTGAGCCTGTTCGCACCTGTGCGTAACCTGCCGGCCTCAATGTCTCCTGCCTCCAGCTCTGGGTTGGGATGCCGGCCTGGTACGTGGCCGCCTGCCGGGCCAACGTGAAGAGTGGGGCCATCATGTCTGCCCTGTCGGACACGGAGATCCAGCGTGAGATCGGCATCAGCAACCCCCTGCACAGGCTGAAGCTGCGGCTGGCCATCCAGGAGGTCATGTCCCTGACCAGCCCGTCAGCCCCACCCACGTCGAGAACGGTGCGTTCCAGAAAAAGCTTGGCCTGCATTGTGTTCCTTTGCAGTGCTTTCTGAACACATCCAGTGTTCTGTTTATGGTTTTAGCGTTCAAAACCATCGCAGCTTTTCATGTGTGACGATTGGGTAGTTAAGATATTTTACTGAACACTTTTTTTTTCACTTTATTACTTTTGTTTGGGAGGAGTTAATTAGGTTTATTTATTTTTCATGGAGGTGCCAGGGGCTTGAACCCAGGACCTCGTGCATGCAAAGCACTCACTCTACCACTGAGCTACACCCGCCCCCTTTATTGACTGCTTTTATAACAACTTGGCTTCAGTGGCCTTGTCATGTAGAAATAGGAGTTTTTGAAAAAGTAATCACTACAAATTTAAACATCAATTTAAAGACAGTGAAGGGGAAAAGCTTCGCCCCCAGGCTGCACTGTCACCACTGTTTGACTCTGGTTGACCTGTTTGGCCGATCAGGGCTTCCCTCTTTCAGGAGCTGCAGACCCTGGGCGCTCAGGCTTTGGGCAGTCCGTAAACCTGCAAGCGTGCGCAGGGTTACTGGTGCTGGTGCAGCTTTTCTCCACATGGAAAGACCTTGCAAGTCCTTCAGAGGGATTCTCCTCCTTGAAAAATTAAAAACGAATTGAATGAAAACATGAATTGTTTCTGGGAGTTAAGGGCGGGCCAGCTCAGTTCTAAAGTGCAGACTCTTTACGTTGGCTCAGTCCCCAGTCTCCGCCTTGTCTACGCTGGTGAGAAAAGCGGTGAAGAACCCAAGAGCCTCACAGACGCACTTCTCTGAGAGCAGGTCAGGGCCCGATCCGGGGCTCACGGTCGCTTTACACGAACAGCGTGGAGCTGCCTTGTCTCTCTGCGCATGCGCCGTGGTCATGAACAGTAGTCCTGCCCCTGCCTGTTGGGCAGGTGCTCTCACCCAGAGCCCTGTCCTCTCATGGTACCTAATCTAGTCTCTGTCCCCCAAGCGTTTCACTATAGAGTTGCTGTCTCACAAATGAAGGTGCTGGGGGTTTTCCCCAGGTTTTTATCAACTGTCTTGGTCAAGGTGGCTTCTCATGGATTGAGTTAACAAACAGTGAGGAGGAGCCCGCCCACTGGGAGACGGTGCAGTCTGCTCCCTGAGGAGCCCCCGGGGTGCTCATGCGTCTCGGGTGCCGTGTTGGGGTACATGCTCAGCCCTGCTCCCTGCCTCCTCAGCCCCTCAGGTCGAGGGCCCGGCCAAGGGGCCTACTGTCTTCCCACAGCACAGAGCTAGGCTTCCGTACTGTCCGGGTGGTACTTTGGGGAAGACCATTCTAAATAGATTGGATCAATAGTTACTTGAGAATTATTCTCAGTTTTCAGAAGTGCGAAATGCCTTTCCCTCTGTCCCGCACCCCTCGGGTGGCAGGCCTATGACTGCAGCTCTAGGGGGGCTGCTGTGTTACTGGCGACGGTGCTCGTAGGGTGGTCGTTTGAGAGGAGACAGCCTGGGCGTCCGTGGTGGGCGGTGAGGGTCGGCCTTCGCCCCCGCTCCTTCCACGCGCCGAGGCTGACGTGTCTGCCACCTTGCCTCTCTGTCACTGCTCCCCTGCCCTGGATGTGGCTGGTCACTGGGGTCACTCCAGACCACAGGAAATGTCTGGTTAACACATGAAGAGATGGAAACGCTCACAGCCACGCCACAAACGGTCAGTCCCACCCCGGGCTTGTCCCCCTCCTTCCCACCCACCCCCCCCGCCCAGAGCGGCGCCTTTCTGGGCCCTTTTGTGGAAAACAGGGATGTCATTTTACACTGAATGTTTCCATACAAGTATTTGCTTTAGGTATTAGTTCAATGTGTAAAACAGAACCCGTCTTTTATCTTTATATGTTTTTCAGAAGCTTAGTCGGTAGACTTGCTCCATGTAGAACAGATGTAGTTGGCGCCCCCTTCCCGGGAGACCGCAGCTCAGCACTCTGACCCAAGCTTCCCCTCCTGTGGGGGTGCTTGCTGTGGGAGCCCACTCCTTGCATGAGACGTTGGAGTTGGCGGGTCTGCATGAGTTTTGCATGATGCTTTGATTCTTTGAACGTTCTCGCTCAGTTAAGCCGCGCGTTCCCTACAGAGTCGGTTTGCCTGCGTTACCAAGCTCGCCAGTACTAATAGTTGTGTTCTTTTACATTCCTAACCACGTAACCTCAGGAAGATGAGGAGGGAAGCTGGGCTCAGGTTGGAGACTTTCTATAATGTATTCTTCACTATATGTACAGCAACAAAAAGAGTTGGAGGATGAAAACTTGTAATTTACTTTTTTTGGCGTTTTTAACATCTTGTATTCGGACTGTTAAAGATTTGAACGCATTAGTCAAAGCAGAGCACAGGATTAAAGAGTGCGTCTCATGGACAATTTTGAACACTCCTTTGTGGAGCCCTTGGTCGTGGATTCTGATTGATATAAATCCCTTGGTCCAACACAGTCTTTCCTACGAAGTCCCGTGGCTGCGGCAGCTCCTGAGATGACGTGTCTCGGCCCCTGTTGGGGTAGCCTTAGTTCCGAGACCCACTGGCGGGAACATCGCCTCCCAGCGCGTTTCCCACAGGAGCTGCCATAGCGACACTGTCCCTGTGTCCGTGTCCACCTCGCGCTGTCCTAATACTGTGCTGCTCCGAAGACTTTCTTACTAATGGAATTCTCAGAAATTAAGCCTAGGCTTGCTTGACATGTATCTTGGATTTTCAGCTCCCCAGTTCTGCTTACAAAAAGCTCTCTCAACTGTTTTGTAGCCTTATTTTGAGACAGCTTGATTAAACACAGTGGTTTCCACACACCTGACCCCACCGACTTTGCCATGTGACCTGACGTACCCTTTAGCAACAAGTTAAAGGCCACCAGGTGTGGACAGGCAGCTTTGCCAGGGCTGGCACAGTGGCATGGTGTTCATGGACCTTGAGAGGATAGCTGTATAACCGAAAAATCAAAGTAACTTTAAATCAGAATTTTGCTGACTACAAGTTGATAGTTTCCCTCTATTTCTACTCCTGAAGTAAAGCCATTTGTGTCCGTTTTTAACCACAGGAGAGAGTAGCTGTAATATGATTCTCCCTTGATGTAGGTATTCCGTGCTTCTACTCCAGACGAATATCCTCATTAGTTATTTAACCTAGTCAGGTATCTCTTTACAGGGCCAGTAATGGCCATCAGAATGAATTTTAAAGAGTGCATTTCATAATTACTTAAACATCAGTGTATTTTACACTGAGAGGCAGAACTTTGTCAGCACTTGAATATGAAATACCTGCATCATGGGGCACGAAGTATAAATTAAAGAAGCTGAATGTCTGCCTTTGCCGTGGAAATACGTACAAGGGTGAGCCGTGCCGATGATGCCAGAGTTGCCAGCGTCCAGCCTTCAGCGTGAGCAGGGCCGCTTTCGCTCCGTCCCCCCTTGTAGAGGAGGGAGAGGGAAGGGGCTTCCTGGTCTCTGAAGCTGCCGAGGGCAGGTGATGTGCAGTGCACCTTCCTGCACCGTCCGCAGTGACCAGCTCCTGGGCCGGGGGCAGCTAGAGGCGCCCTTGGGCACTCGGGGGGAAGAAGGCATCAGGTGTGGTCAAAGCCTTCGATGCCGTCACTCAGCAAGGGGCATCTGCGAGCTGTCTGCGTGAGACCTTGCTGCTCGCTGGTGGTACCGGAGTGCACAGGACAGCCTCATCCCTGCTGTCACTGTCACATGTGCCCAGTTCAGAAGACTTAATCCGTGTTTGTAATCATTTCAGTGATGGTAACATAGACCCTGCAGAGTGACTGTCTCTTCTACCCTAGTGTTCTCTGATCGTGAGAGAGCCCTGTCGTGTGCTTTTTTCAGAGGCTGTGACCACAGCCCAGGAGATGTGGTCTCCCTGGGACTGAGCCTGATCCTCCCAGGAGCTTATGTTACTGACCACTTGAGTGTGAATAGAGTATATAATGAGTACACAAAAACAAGGAGGTTCTGCTTCCATGGAATTCTCTATTCAGAAACATCTTTGCAGTTGTGTCCATTTAAAAATGCATAATCAGCAAGCAAGAAACTCATGCCTGTCAGGCTTACGAGATGAGGGTAGGGTTTAACAGAAAGAAAAAACATGGTGTTGTAATGATTTTCCAAAAATGTTTGATGTTTTTCTCCATTCATTATTGTTTACAGAAAGTAGTGAAACTTTCTCTTTCTATTGGAATTTGAGTGTTCTTGTTGGAGTTTGAGTCATTCCTTCCAGGTTTGTTGGTATAAATAATAAATTAGGTTAGAGGCCATACTTTCAAGACAGAACATGGTGGTAGTTGAGAGATAACTGTTTCCGAAGATTCTGTAATGTAACCACAGAATTCCTGTGGATGTACTTCAGTCTTCTTGGCCCAAAGAACATCAGGTGCCTTTCTTTGATATGTGTGTACATACATATAATGTGCTTATTTATTTTTCATTGTGCAAGCCTTGCACGTATTCTGTTATATTTATCCTTATGGATTGAATGGTTTTGATGACATTATAATAAATTATATTTTTTGATTTCAATTTCCAGTTCATCTCTAGTATTTAGAAATACTGTTCATTTTTGTATGTTGACCTTGTATTCTGCAACTTTGCTTTTCATTCTGATAACCATTTTTGTAGATTAATTTTCCACATTGATAATCAGATCACCTGCAAATACAATTTTATTTCCTTTCTAATTCATATGATTTTGATTTCTTTTTCTTGCCTTATTATAGTGGCTAGGAGTTCCAATGCAGTGTTGAGAGCAGACACCCTTGCTTTGTTCCTGGTCTTAGGGAGAATGTATTGTATTTCACCTTTAAGTATGATGTCAGCTCTGCCTTTTTTATAGATGGCCTTTGTGAAGTTGAAGCAGTTTTCTTCCATTCTTAGATTTCTGAGATTTCCATGAATTGGTGAATTTTGTCAGATGACTTTTTTTCATCTTTTGAGAGAATACTGTGATTTTTCTTTTTAGTCTATTTGATATGGTGAATTTCGTTGGTTTTTCAAATGTTGACCCAACCTTATGTGCCTGGGATAAGCTCCATTTGTCATGACATCTCATTCTTTTAATCAGATATCGATTTGATTTCCCGATGTTCTGTTCAGGAATTTCCATCTGTGTCTGGGAGGGATGTTAGTCTGTAGTTTTCCTGTGATGTGTTTCTCTGGTTTTGGCATCGAGATAGTGCCGGCCTCAGAAAATGAGTTAGGCGTTTCTTCACTCTTTTGGAACAGTTTGTGCAGAATTGGCATTTTTTCATAAGTGTATGGTAGGATCCACTAATGAAGCCATCAGGATAGAGATTTTGTGTGTTTGTATGTGTGAGAAGGTTTATAACTACAGATTCAAGTTATCTGTTACTCAGTGGCTTTCATAGATTATGTGTTTCAAGAAGTTGGACTGTTTTATTTAAGTTGCTTAAAATTATTCAGTTTTCCCTTAGCATCCTTTCAGTGTCTGTAGGATCTGTACTGATGCCCCCTCTTTCATTCTTTTTTTTTAAACATTTTTTATTGATTTATAATCACTTTACAATGTTGTGTCAAATTCCAGTGTTCAGCACAATTTTTCAGTCATTCATGGACATATACACACTCATTGTCACATTTTTCCTCTGTGAGTTATCATAACATTTTGTGTATATTTCCCTGTGCTATACAGTGTAATCTTGTTTATCTATTCTACGATTTTGAAATCCCTGTCTATCCCTTCCCACCCTCCACCCCCCTGGTAACCACAAGTCTGTATTCTCTGTCCGTGAGTCTATTTCTGTCCTGTATTTATGCTTTGTTTTTGTTTGTTTGTTTTTGCTCTTTCATTCTTGATATTGGTAGTTTATGTCTTGCCTTTTTCCTTGGTCGCTTTGGTTAGTCAGTTTTATTGATGTTTATGAAGAACCTGATTTTATTTTCGTCGTTTGACTTTCTGTTTTTCTGGTTTCTGTTGCACGGATTTCTGCTCTTACATTTTCTTCCTTTTGCCTGCTGTGGATTTCATTTGTTCTTCTTTTTCAAATTTTTCAAGATAGAATCTTACATTATTGATTTTGTTACCTTTCTTCATTTGCAACGTAAGCACTTAATACTATAAATTTCCTTCAAGGCACTGAATTAGCTGTGTCCCACAGCCTTTTAGTGTATTTTCACTTTTATTCAATTAAAAATATTTTCCCATTTCACTGTGATTTCTTCCTTGACACATGAATTATTTGCAAGTATGCTAATTTCAAAATATTTGGGAATTTTCTGAATATCTTTTTATTATTGACTTCTAATTTACTTGTGTTGGGTCAGAGAACATACAGTCACCGTTAGTGAGCTGAGTCTCGTCTGTCTTGGAGAATGTTCCATATCCATTAGGAAAGAATGTGCCATGCTGTCCTGGGCAGAGTGCCGTGCAGTGTCCGCCAGGTCGCGCTTGCCGACGGCGTTGTGCGGGGCGTCTGTGTCCTTTCTGAGGCTGGTTGGTTGCCTGCTGCGGCTTCCTTGTTCAGTCCCTGGATGACTGAGAGGAGGGCTGAGTGCTCTGACTGTGGTGTGAGTTTGTCTCTCGCCTTCAGTCCTGTCACTTGTTGCTTTGCTTGTCTCTTCTTTTAAAACTATCTTTTAGTTCACTTTTTAAACTGATTTTGAAATTAGCAGGTGTTTTGTTAAGGACATTTGGAAAACAAAGTGTTAAAAATAAAATTAAATCCAGCCAGGGGTATTTTTAATGAGTAGAGTTGGATTGATCCTTCAAACTTGTTCATGAGTCGTGATCATTCTTTGTTGATGTATTATTACATATAAAAGCTATTTCAGAAATGTGTAGTCAGTCAGTTTTGTTTTGACTTGGTAAATAGGTTAAGTTTATAAATACAAGTGAGTCAGATTTTTAATGGTATAATTCCTTTTGTATAAAATTTAGCTAATTAATTTAAAAGATAGTAAATAGGAGATCAGATTATTTTGAAATTATGAATGTTGTCGTTAGTTAGCTCAGCCTTTGAGGACAAGTAATAGGTTAAAAATCCAGCTTAAAGATGATTTGTACTGCCCTTGTGACGGCTTTTCTGAACTGACCGAACTTCATTATTGGGAGCAGACCCTTGCATACGGGGACATGAACCACGAGTGGATCGGCAATGAGTGGCTGCCCAGCCTGGGCCTCCCGCAGTACCGCAGCTACTTCATGGAGTGCCTGGTGGACGCGCGGATGCTGGACCACCTGACCAAGAAGGACCTCCGGGGTCAGCTGAAGATGGTCGACAGTTTTCACAGGTAACTCATCGCAGGTGGGTCTTCCTGGTTGGCTAAGAGATTTTAGACTGTTGCCAGCTCTAAATTTTTTCTCTTTTTTCTTTCTGAAATAGAAACAGTTTCCAGTGTGGAATTATGTGCCTGCGAAGGTTAAATTATGACCGAAAAGAGCTGGAAAGAAAACGAGAAGAAAGCCAAAATGAAGTAAAAGGCTAGTACAGACTGTTGAATTGATCTGTGTCTGTGATCTGTGATCTTTGTTTCTTTCTTCCCAGTGTTAGCACCATCAGTGATTTCCTATTTTAAAAAAAAATCAGGAAGTGCTTTAAGTGGAGAAAACTCATCTGGCCTCATTCCAGAGGAGGGAGGGATGAAAAGGAGTGTTTTAAGAGCCCCTTCTATAGCCAGACAGCGTGTGTCTGTCCTCTTCTGTTTCTGTCCGCCTGCAGGTTCAGTGTCTCACGGTAAACACTTTTCCTAGGACTCCAGAGATTTCCCGTTACTGTGACACGTGTCCTACCCCACTCAGAAATGCCGCCCCACCCCGTTAGGTAACTGCAGAGGGAGGAAGCATAGTTCTCCGCTGTTGGCTCATCACTCGCAGGATTTGGGTGTGGGGAGCGCTGCCCTGTCCACTCATCAGAGGACGCTGGAGCGCAGTGTAGAGCAGCGTGCTTCTGCCCCAGCACAGAGTCAGCATTTCAGCTGGGCCGGGCCAGCGGAGCGGAGCCCCTTAGCCGGGGAGAAGGCAAAGGCATCTGAGATAGAAGCCAGGTGGGCGGGTACGAGGACGTGGAGGGTCCGGTGGGGAGGCCAGGAGGCACCTCCCCCTTGGGGGCCTCCCGCGCCGGGTGCCTCTCAGTGGCCACGTGCAGTAGAGAGCTTCCAATGGAGTGTTCACAATTCAGCTCAAAGTGACAGCTCCAGGTCTGTAGAAAATACAGAAATCACTAATGGTAGTGTGAGGAACAGTGAGACTTACTTGAACAACTCCAGGCCCTTCCGCGGGTTAACTTACTTGCCCCTTATTCCCACAGCCCCGTGAGCACCAGTGCTGTTTCCATCCCAGTTTCCCCAAGAAAGAAACTAGAGGTGAAAGTGCGGTGGGGAGATGGCCTGTGTGAAGGGCGGGTAGGCGTGGCTGAGCTAGGGTGTCAACCCCGAGAGAAAGCAGAAGCCAGCATTTATACTGCATCTGCCTTTATCTGGAGATGGGCACTGGGAGTGAAATCGGGAAATTCGTTTCTTTTGTTTTCTGTTTCCATTTTAAACCTTCTTGCAGTTGGCAGGAATTGTCTTTGAAAGTAATTGGTGATCTTCTGGATGTGTTTTTACAGAGTGGCCATTTTTAGATCTCTCCTAAAGCAAATTTAATCATTTATTGCTTGGCATAATATAACTTCCCCCTAAATCTCTCATATGCTGGAGAGCATCTTTAAGTTTCTCTTTTTGAAATGAGACAGCACAACTGGCTTCAAGAAACAGGGCTTCAAAATTATAAATGCAGGTGGGGTGTAGATCGCAGGGGCAGAGGGCATGCTCAGCATGCATGAGGTCCTGGGTTCCATCCCGAAAACCTCCATTTAAAAAAAATACAAAAAACAAAACTGGTGCCTATAAATGGGGGGGGGGGGTATAGCTCAGCAGTAAAGTATGTGCTTACAATATGTGAGGTCCTGGGTTCAATCCCCAGAAACTCCCACTAAAAAAATAAATAAATTCTTCTGGCAAGGTTATAAATGAGAGGTTTATGTTGCTTCGAGCAAGGTGTCCAGATTTGGTGCCAACTCCTTAAGATGGGAAGAACGTATTTCAGAAGACTCTGAGGTCTGTATCTGAAACCTGCTCCTGCCTGGTGGGCATTCAGATTCTTACGTGTCCTTTTTTTCTGATTCCTGGATCCTCACTTTCTGTTCTCTAGAAATGAAATGTACATAATAACTTCACTCCTCTTGAGCTCGCCTGAAGAGTGAGTCCTAGTGGGGCAGTTCCCGTGAGATGGGAGGAGGGCCGAGCCATCAGAGCCTGGATGCAGGGCTTGCCTGCCGCCTAGCAGGGTCTCCCAGCCCTTGCGGACGGAGGTCCTGCCTTGCGTGGGAACTGAAGGGTCCGCACCTGCGGTGGGAGTCTGCCAGCGCTCCAGGGCGTGTGTGATGGGGCCGCTGTAAACCGGTGTTTCTTCGTCTGCAGATGTGCTTGTTTGGAGCAACGATCGAGTCATTCGCTGGATCCTGTCCATTGGCCTGAAGGAGTACGCCAACAACCTCGTGGAGAGTGGCGTCCACGGCGCGCTCATGGCCTTGGACGAGACCTTCGACTTCAGCGCACTGGCTCTCTTGTTACAGATCCCAACGCAGAACACACAGGTACCCGCGTCCTCAGCCCCAGGCGGGCAGTTCCCCTGGTGCGGATGGCGAGCTGTTTGTGTGAGAGGAGACCAGACTCGCAGGCTCAGACCGCTAGTCATTTCACTCGTACCAAATCCATGATGCGAGGGCTCAGAAGCGGTCTGCCTAGTTCCTCAGTGTTTTTGCTTATCTGCTTTCATTTGCCGTTGGAAGCACGAGAGTCTTGCAATAAACAAAAAAAAGGGAAACTTTCATTTAAGTCCATATGCTCGTAAGAGTGACATATTTAGTTCTTCTGTGGAAAGAGAAGTCCGTATCTTTTGTGTGTCAGATGAAGGTTTTATTAATTTTGTCTCTGTGGGTAAGTGCCTGAGTAATTCTTTTTGACTTGTGGGCTCATTTGAGAATCGGGAAAGGTTTTCATTCTTCTACAGAAGACTGTATATCTTTTGCCAGTACCCCCATCCCCACCCCAGCGCCAGCCCACAGAGCCCACTGCTGTGTACAGTTTCCAAGGGGTCGTGAGCCCCTCTCCCCACGAGCCCATCCATGGGCTCCGCACTAAGCCCTGGTGTAAAATACTGTCACGGTCTGGGGTTTTTTAAGTCCTGGTTTAAGAAACGGTGGGGATGTGCTGATACTTGGACTAGATTGCTGAACGTTCTGAGTGGTCGTGCTTTACGATTTCAGGCTCGTGCCGTCTTGGAGAGAGAGTTTAACCACCTTTTGGTCGTGGGGACGGACAGAAGGTTCGATGAAGTAAGTTTTCAGCCTGATGGTTTTTAAAGTTGCATTAATGTAAGTTCTTTTATTGTACTCGTATGAGCCATGTAGTCTGGGTATTGCTTCTAAATGTAGAAATAATTTTACTTTACAAGATGAACTTTGCTCTTAAAAATTGATTAACAAATGAGCTATTAAGAAACTAATACCTTCAGTAAAATAGGGTTTTTTTTTAAATTTTGCTATTCAACTTTTGCTACCCCTCAGAAATACTTTTCATATCATAAAGCACTGGTTTCAGCTTAGGCATGGAGTCTATAAGTTGTGCTGCCGGGACAGTGGGTGTCTTGCCCTAATCCAGAGCCCCTGTGCTCTGGGGGGTGTGTCGCATAGGTCTGCTGAAACACACAAGACGTCATTTCCCTTGTACAAAACCACGACTCCTTTATTCCCACACTGAGGTCCTTATTCTGCTCAGGGGGCCTCAGGAAAACTTGAGTCTGACAGAGAACAGGATGGAAGGACACACAGGGAGTGCTTGCTGGCTCCGTCCCAGTGCACGATGGGTTGTTCACAGCTTGGAAGCTTCTTAGCACACATGAAAATGTGTTACCTTATGTAGCAAGAAGGTGATTTCTTCAAGATGGGAAGTGAAAGCTGGTGATGGGTGGGAGGAACGGATGCCCGGAGCCCACAACTGTCCCGGTCTATGCCCAGTTAGTGTCCCGCCGCGCTTTGGGCAAATAAGTCACGTGGTTATCAGGAATGGGGTTAGATACCTGTGACCAAAAGTGCAGTGACAAGCTCTGTCACTTCAGGGGGCTAGTCCCTTTACTCACTGTGTATTTTTGTCCTTGATTTTAGGATCAGTCTTACTCTCTGTCCTTTAATTTCCCAGGACGATGATAAAAGCTTCAGGAGAGCACCTTCTTGGAGAAAAAAATTTCGACCAAAGGATGTTCGTGGCTTAGCTGCTGGGTCAGCAGAGACTCTTCCTGCAAACTTCCGGGTCACTTCCTCTCTGTCCTCGCCCTCGACGCAGCCAAAGAAGATGCAGCTGGACGGTAGGTGGTGGTGGCGGCACGGCCCCAGCCCCGTGCGGGCAGCGTGAGCGTGGCGGGGACGTTGGTGCTGACCTGCGGTGGCCTCTGTGTCTGTTGCATGCCCAGGTTTCAGTGTTTTAAAACTAATCCTAACATCTGTTTATGGAAGTCTCACAGTAATAGAGGTTTTGGGGACGTGTGTGTGTGTGTCTGTGTCGTGTGTGTCTGTGTGCGTGTGGCGGTGCTCGAAAGCTCTTCGTCACGTAGCAGTGCAGTAGCATCCAGACCATGGACTGGAGGGTGACCGAGTCCAATCTAGGGACATGTTTCAGTACCAGCAGTGTCCAGCTTCCCTGTCTCCCTTGTCCCTCGCACGCTGGGGAGGGCGGGGCAGAAGGGAGCCTGAGAGCGGCCTGCCCCCGGGCCAACTGGGCCTGTGATTTCACCAGATTCGCAGCTGTTACTTAAAGGCAAGCGCTGATTTTCTCTTAGACGGCCACCAGCAGTTAGGGTCGGCCGGGGTTCACCCACAGCCTCTCAGCCCCGAGGTGTCCCCGCCCCGTGACCCCAGCAGGAGCCAGGCTGCCTGGGCTAGGAGCCCGGCCCTGCCGCCCGGGAGGGGCACAGCCTCAGCGCCGCCTCAGGGCCCCCGCCTGCGGGGTGGCCGTGGCAGTGTCGTCCTCACTGGCTGGTGGTGGTGAAGTGAGACACTCACAGAGGCTCTGGGCAAGCGCCCGATGTGTCAGATGTCCCATGCAGGTGTCCCCGTCACTCGTGACTTGCTCTCAGGCCTGGTGTAGGGGACAGACTGCGGGAAAGTAAGTGGCTTTGAAAGGGTGCTGCTGGGGGTTTTGTGATTTTTCCTGTTATTCTCCCTTCCCGTAGGTAGGTTTGTAAGCTTTGCCTTCCCTTACTTGTATGCAAATCAGAGCAAAGTACACGTAAGTGAAGCCGTTCCTAAGCTGGACAGTCTCAGTGAGGGTGGCTCACGGGGCAGCATTTTTATTAAAAAGCTGCAGGGCGGGGCAGACTCAGTGGTGCAGCACGTGCTGAGCATTCGTGAGGTCCTGGGTTCCATCGCCGGCACTGCCTCCCTTAGGGGGAAGAAAGCAGCGTCTCTTTGCCAGCTTTGCAGTTCAGTAATAGCTTAATGGGTAGGGGGCAAACCCAGCAACCATTTTTTTTTAAAGAACATTTTTTCTTTCAAGGAGCACACAGTTCATTTTTACAGATTTTACTTGTGGCATGACCTTCAGCTTGGTGAACAGTCTAGAGCTCTCTTGTCCCCTCGTAGCTGCATCCCCAGTCTCCTCATTGTAAATCACAGCCTCTGTTAAACGTTCACAGCAAGGTTGACATGAGAGTTGTGACAAATTAAAAGTGATCCTAAAAGGAGGCGTGGGGAGCCGCTGCACAGGAGACGGCTTTTTGCCCTGAGTGACAGATAAGGCGTAAATGGAGAATGGGCTGTTTTCATGGCTTTTAAGGCAGATTTAAGGCAAATTGCAGCAGGTCTCCTGTGTTCTTAGAATCAGAAGGATTTACAAAGATAGTCTGTTCTGGTGTGCGGTACCAGCTGTCTTAACATCCTTTCTGGAACCGTGGCAGAATCCTGATAAGATGTGTTCCTGATGGACCCGTGGGGAGACAAAACAAATGTATGATGGGGAGCAGCGAATTTCTACTGTGAATTTTGGGAATTTCTTACCCAACTGGAAGGCGAGGGTTGGGGCTCACCTGCTGGGCCAAGCAGTGTGTTTCTTGACAATAAAAAAGACATCAGCGGTGTCCATTGTTTCAGTGGAAAGTGAGACTGGACTCCTGCTCTCTGTGAGTCGCTGTCCTCTGCCCGCCCCTGCAGCCACACCTCAGTCGGCTCGGCGGGGGGGCTCCCGGGGAGCAGGACCACCCTCTGACAGCACAGGGCGCGGGGCCTTGCGGCCATCGGTACTTGGCTTTGGTCACCTGCTCTGTTAGGGGCTGGTGACACCTCACGCTGCCGCGGGGTTGTGCACCTCACAGCCTTCTTGGCAAGACAGCGCTCAAGCTGGAGGAGCCCAGGGCCCTGTAGTCCGGCGGGTTTAAGGAGGAGGCTGCCACGCTGAGGGTGTCGGCCGTCCAAGTGCGTGTCGTGCGGGAGTCCTTCCGTCGTCTGATGGGGAGCGAGCGCTGGGCCTGCCGCCCGTCTGATGGGGGCTGCGGGGACCCCACGCGGCGGCGCTTCGGTTCTGTGTCCAGACCTGCTGGAGCCCTCCGCAGGCGTGGGTGTGGGTGCTGTTGCAGGTGTGGAAGTGTGTCTTTTCTTGTGCCCTCGTGTGACGGTCTGCCACTAACTGCACGTTGTGTTTGCACGCCTCCTCCCGTGCTTGTCGGAACAGGCGGCGTGTCGGGAACGCAGAGGCTGGATTCTGCTACAGTCAGGACTTACTCCTGCTGAAGCCTCCCCCCTGGTGAGTAGAGGGCAGCCCCGTCCCCGAGGCTGCGCCGAGGCCAGGCCCTGCTGTGTGAGTGCCTGCTGGGGTCTGTGGGGTGGGAGGCCTGAGAGCAGAGCGCGGGGCCTGGGTCCCTCGCGCTGGCGGGCTCTGCTGTACGCACACAGGCCCCGCGGCACCGAGCTTCACGAGGCTGCACCGCTGCGTGCCTTTCAATTCCAAGGCTGGTTTTTAAGACAAAACCACCTAGGCACCTCAGGGTCGACGACCACTGGGTGCCCACCCCTGCGCCGCAGGCGGCGGCCTGGTTGGGTGCAGCCCTGGGCCCAGCCCCCTCCTCACTGCTCCGAGGGCCAGGGCTCTTCTGCTCTGTTCTGTTGTCCTGTCTCAGCTGGAAGTTTGGTTGGCTTATTGTCTTTTTATTAGCAACTTTTAGACATGCCAAAGCCCCTCAAAGCATTCTCTCATTGGTATGCCCAGTCCTTGGAGTTAGTCTAAATGCTCCAAGCAGCTGCAGCACAGGAGCGAGGGAGGGGCTCGGGCCCCGGAAGCTGCAGGTCTGCGTCAGCGCCGCCGTCCCCAGGCTGACTCTCGCTCGGTCTTGTCTTCCAGTTTACCCACACTACTTCTACAGATGACACGCAGCAGTCGCCACCCACCCAAGACTACGTTTTGGACTCGATGGAATCTTTAATCTGTTAATACTTGTTATATGGACCCTAAGATATTTTATTACAGAGTTTTTAATTAGTGAAAAATTCATGAATACCATAGAGAAAATATTTTAGAATTTAATGTTTCTTATATTTATGTAAACTTATGACTTCATTTATATAGTTACTTACTTTTTCATGTATATCCAGGCTATAAATATCCTTTCAAATCAATTCTTGTTCTTATATCTGATCTTAGTCTTTCAAATGAATGTACTGTAATGCTTGTATGTATAAATCCTATGAACAGATACAGGGCTTTTGTAAATTATGCATTTATTGTAATTATCATTGTTTAATTTTTTAATAATGAACCACAACAGAGAAAAGGATTTTACTGCGTTTGTAAAATCATGGCACAGTGTGCATTATCTGTTACGAAACGTAACCGTGCTCTACAACAATCATTTTGAAATAAGCAAGCTTAATTTCCAGCAATTGTATTTTAATGACTGACCTTAACTGTACTTTTTCTAGCAAGAAATGCTTTCCTCCTCAGCGTGAACAGATTAAAAATGCCAGGTGTTAAATATCAGCTTCTAATCAGATTGGGACTGAAAGGATCATCAGGACACCATGAACTTCAGACTGGCTGACTCTCCACAGCCTGTGGCCTCGGTAGTCCGTCGTCAGTAACTGGCGGAGCCGTGAGCTGGGGACAGTTCTCTCAGCCTCAAGACAGACTTGCATGGGGAGCCGGGGCCCGCCGCACCCCCATCCTCCCCTGCCCCTCGGGGGACGCGGGCCAGGGCGCCCGCACATCCACTCCCAGAGGACCAATCGTGAGCGCTGCACTCACTGCGAAGGCGCAGGATGCTGGACACCATGCCGCGCAGCTGTGATAAAGGCCTTATTTTCGTATGTAAATCATCTTCTTACATTTGTTTGTAAACAGGTTTAAAGAATGGACCTAGCCGTACATTTTTAGATTTTGACAATATAGCCATTTTGGATTGTATAAGTAGCAAATGTAACTTTTACTTTTAAATGGCACATTAAACGGCCAGCAAGAAATGTGTGCAGATCACGGCGCATTATTTATTACGCAGCTGATGTTTCGCCAGCTAGGACAGCACGACTTTTTACATCTGGTTTCTGCTTTTAATTTACTTGTGCAATTTATTGTTACCGTTCTGTTTTTCTATTAATCTTTTGTGAACTTCCTGATTGTGTAACAAAGTATGTACAGCCTACTTTTGAACTATTTTTATCACAGCATTATTTATTGCTCTCTTTCAATAAAATACTGAAGCATTTTCCACTGCCAATAAAGATACAGGGAATAAGCTGTAATTACACTGAAACTGACTGCAGCTGTCGTATCTCCGGCTCCATCCGGGCTGACTGACTGGAGCCGCTGTCCTCACGTGGAAATTCTGGCAGAGGAGTCAGCTGACGGAACGAGCAAGCTGGAAGATGGACGAGCAGGCTCTGGGGGCCGGAGGCCCAGCTCACCAGTCCCCCGGGAGCCGGCCCAGGGAGGCTGTGCTGCCGGGGGCTCCAGCAGAGGCGGAGATGTGGGGCTCGTGGGCGGGGGCTGAAGGCAACGCGTGACCGGGACCCCGGTGACTAGTCTGGGGAGTGTATGTGCGTGTTAGTCGATAGTTTTTATCATTCACATATTTCACTGCAGCAAGAATGGAGCCTGGGGGTCAGGGAAGTATGAAAAAAAGATTTTCCACACAGATTCTTGATCACTGCCACCAGACGCGGCAGCCATCCTCATTGGCCGCCCTCTGCGGCCGCAGCTCTGGGCACACCGGGCACCAGCACGGGGCAGCCAGAGCGGCTGCTTTTGCAGAAGGTGTGTTTTCAGGAGCCATCAGTAGAGCTGGAGTAGCTGGGGTCCATTGTGAGCTGAGGTGAGGCCAGAGGTCCAAGATAAATGGCAGAGAAGAGGCACTTGTGCTGTGGTGGTCACGGTGTGTGCGCGCCTGTGTGTATGTGTGTATGCACACCCGCATTCATCCACGTGGGCTCCACACTGCTCTTCATGTCACCTGGTTACACGATGGCGCCCCAGGCTGTGTCCTCCTGGAGTCACTGCCCCTGGGACGGAGCCTGCTTCGGTGTAGCTCGCACCAGGTCCAGAGTCACATGCCGGTGCAGTGTGGCAGGGCGGCGGGCGCCCAGCCGGACGTGGGTTCCAGGGAGATGCAGGCACTCGCAGGTGGTAGCGCACAGATGCCCACTGCCGTGGCGGCCAGACGGAGCAGCGGGGCCTTAGCTTCAGGGTTTACCAGGCAGTTTCCCGCCCTCCCCACCACGGATGTGGGTCTGGGGCACGGAAGCCCGATGGCTGACGCCGCACCTGCGGGCACCGCTGCCGGGGGCCTCAGGTGTCGGCTTCCTGCCCGGACTGCTCTGCGGGGCTGACGGGCTCCCCCCCGAGGGGCCCATGTGTCCTTTATGTGGGCGGACACACCTGCTTGTTTCCAGCGGCGGGGTTGCCAGGCAGCTGTGTTTTCCTCTTTGGGCCCCTGCTTGTTGGTGTCCCAGCCTTGCTTAGGAGCAGCCTTACCTCCCTCATTTCCCAGTTCTCAGGGTTCACTCAGGCGTGAGATTTAAAACCACCTAGTTCTCTTCTGCACCTCGCATTGCACTTTGCCTGGTCAGAACCCAGTAAGCCTCGGCATTCAAGGCTTCCGGAAACAAAGTCATCAGTGAGCCATAAGCTGCAGGTGTTTTATTAAAACGGTTCGTTTTGGAGTGGGGTATAGCTCAGTGATGGAGTGCATGCTTAGCACACACGAGGCTCCATCCCCAGTACCTCTGTTTAAAAAAAGAAAAAAAAACACTGGATTCATTTATTCCACTTATGCCGTTTTGAAAAATGTCAGCTGGGAAACACCCCCAAAGAAAGCGGCGAGGGGGTGTTTCTGTAGTTTTGCTTCCTGAGAACACCGCTGCTTAGGTCCGCTCACCTCGCAGCCGGTGCCGGGCGTGCCCGTGAGGGCGCGGGAGGGGAGTGCCTGCAGTCCCGCTGGGTCGCGCTGAAGACCATCCTGCTCTTCCCAGCATTAAAGACGCCTTGTTCCGGCTCCTTTATCCTCATCGTTGCCTCCGTTAAGTTTCTCTCTTCAAGTTTCACATTGTGCATTTTTGAGGGAGCTGTGGCTTGGGGGTTTTATCCTTTCGCCGGCCAAGTCCTGTCCCCGCCCAGGGTGGGTTTCTAGGGTGTGCGGAAGGGCCCGCCCTCCCTGTGTTCTTGACAGGTGCACAGGTGCCCGGGGTGTTACTGCTGCTGCGCTAAGCACCCACGTGGCATGCTGTAGGTCTCTAAATGTCTCAAATCACTTTGTTTCGTACATTTCCTTGGCTTAACTCCTTGGTGAGAATGATCCAGTGATTTTGCTGTTCCGTGTCCTGGACTCAGCGCTGCACCTTTTTGAGGACAGTTGTCCGAGGCCACCTCGCTAGGCAGCCCCATACCTGGCGCACGTGTGGTAACACGCGGTGGGAAAGGAGGCAGGGCCGCTTCCTGCTGGAGGCTCAAGGCCGGGTCCATTCTTGGCCTCTTCCAGGTGTTGGCTGCCAGCTTCCTTGGCCATGGCCACATCCCTGCAATCTGCGTCTCTTCACATGATCCTCTCCTGTGTCTTTTCTTCTGTCTCTTATAAGAACACTTGTCATTGGCCCACCCAGGTAGTCCAAGAAAACCTCGTCTCAAGATCCTTAATTACATCTTCAAAGACCACTTTTCGAAATAAAGTCAATTCACAGGTTCCAGAGATTTGCACATAGATGCATCTCTGTGGGGCCACCACCACTGTCATTCTGGAGAAGACCTTGCCCTGGAGATACCGGGATGGGTTGAACTGGCCATACCCCAGGGACCCACCTTCTGGTGGGAACATGGACTCTGTATGTCACATGAGGGGCACTAAGGAGAGGGCAGGGGGCTGCTGATGGCCGGGAACTTGGGCCTGTGCTGGGGGGAACGGAGTTTCCAGACCGCTCCCTGTGACATGGGTGGAGACAGAGACTGGCAAAGAAGAATGCAGAAGACATCTTAAAATAATCAAAATGACCCTTGGCATGCAAATAGGTTTGACTTGTAGGACATTTCAACTTCCAACTCGAGTGTGCAGAGCATCACTAGCTGCAGGTGTAGATCTGTCCAGGAGCAGAGGGGTTCTGGTCTACTAACAAGCACTGCCAAGAATCACTTCTTACAGGGGAGGATAGAGCTCAGAGGTAGAGTGAGTGCTTAGCATGAATGAGGTCCTGGGTTCAATCCCTGGTACCTACAGTAAATTTACAAAAAAAGAAAGAATCACTTCTTGAGGACCTGCTCCGTGCCAGGCACTCTGAGGTGCTGGAGAGACAGTGACGAGGCAGAAAATGATTCCACCCTCCTAGGAAGAGGAGGCATTTCTAATCCTGTAACCCAGGGCTCGGCCCTGGGACTGCAGCTGTGCTGTGCCTTGGCGTGGAGGCTGCCCTGGAGGGAGGGGGACCTGCTCACACAACCCTGGATGCTGGGAATTCTGTTCATGTTCACTCAACATATTTAGCATCTTTGCTGGATAACATGCATGTGGTCCCCAGACAGGGTTTCAGGGAACAACCTCCCTTTTCCACGTGGCCACTCCTTGCAGCGCCGCCTGGGATTGGGCTCACTCTGCACGTCTGCAGTGGGTCTCGCTGGTCTTCGGAAGAAGCCGCAGAGCGTACATTTCCTCACGATGAGGGGCAGCTGACAACCATGACCTCCTCGTTTAAGCCCCACAGTTCTGGCCTTCAAGTAGACCAAGATGCTTTTGTTGCATTATATAAAAGCAATTAAAACAAGTTCATAATTAAAATAAAAAGCGATGTAAATTAATTTCATCTTTTTAAAATTAAAACAATGTAACTGAGGGATTGTAGTATTATACAACGTATAAGGCCTAAGTGATTTTAGTCATCAATTCTCCAACACCTTATTTTCTTTTTAATGTTTTATTTTAAACTGAAGTACTAACATGTGAGTCATTCAAAGAAAAACCCCAGCAGTCCCAGTGGCCCGTGTCTTCACGCCTGCTTCCCCCTCCCTGGTCTATGTGCAACTGTGTTCACGATTTGCTCTACTTGCTTCCTTACTCCTAAATAATTTGAGCTTAATGTGGCCTGTGGATTCATCAGTTTTAGACTTTTCAGTTCCTATTGGCAACTCTTTCTGGTGGATGGGAATTTTAGCATTCCTGTGCCTCCCCCCCATCTCTCTACAGAGTTAAATCAAAGTTAATGGTTAAATCCGTGTTCACTGTTTCCATTAATAAGGCTGTCAATATTATTTATTGCTCAGCCAAGTGGATTACTATGATCACAACAAGAAAGGCACGTGCGGAGACTGTATACCCCAGTATTTATAGATGAAATAATACAGTGTCTGAATTTGCTTTAAAATAATCTTAGGGGCAGGGATAAGTTAGGATATGGATCAAAACTGACTATGTGGGTTGATAGTTGTTAGAGATGGCTGATGGATTCACGAGGGTTTATTGCATTATTCTATTTTTGCATTCATGTGGAATCTTCTTTAATACCACTTTTAATCGTTATTTTAGGGTCGCCTTGTGTGATAAACTCTCAGTCTGGACTAGGTGTCTGGAAACTGCTTATTGGCCCTCACTTTGGAATGTAACTGCACCCCGTTTTGAACTTCAGCTGCAGCCCACAGTGGAAAACATTTTACACAGCAGCCTGGCATGTATTCCCATCACTCCCTTTCATCAGTTCTGTTATGACCATTTTTTTCACATGTTTTAATCCATAAAGTCAGGATATGTCTTACAAGCAATGGCATCTTAGACGCAGAAATACAGTATATGACAAAACATCACGCAGGCTGCAGATTCTCTGCTGCAGTGCCCGCGGAGCAGTGGGATCTGACCCCTGCCCTGAACCCGGGCTGGCCTCGGTGACTTACATGGTTGACCAAAAGAATGTAGCAGATGTGAAGTTCAGGGGCGTCTGAAGCGAGGAGCCTTGCAGAAACCAACCACCCAGTAAGAAGTCCAGCTACCCAAAGACCAGCATGCTGCAAGGAAGCCCAAGGTAGCCACACGGAGAGACCCTGGAGAGAGAGATCCGCAGGTGTTCCTGCTGTCCTCTTGTGAGGGAGGAAGCCAAGTAGGACATTCCAGATCCTGAAGACATGAAGAAGGAAGACAAGAGAAGAAATGAACTCCACCAGCAGCCAGAACCAAGGCCCCAGACAGTTCATCCCAGACAGCCAATTATTCGAGCCCTCCCAACTAACGCTCTGCTGGAAACACAGACGAGCCACCCCTGCCCTTTCCAAACTTCTGATCCATGAAGTCTCAGCATAAAATGGTGGGGTTTGTTTCTTTTTTTACCATTAACTTTTGGAGTGGCTCATTACACAGCAATAGATAATTGGAACTTTTATGTATGAAATGAACTCTTACATTTTCTATTCTGCCATCTATTTTTTTATGCTGTGTTTCTCCCCCCAGAAAAGTTGATTCTGTAATCCTTTAAAAGATCAACATCTGCTATGGTTTCTTATTTGTTGCTTTGTAAAAATCCACCCCAAAACTTAGTGGTGAAAAAACAATGATTTATTGTTTCTCTTGATTTGGTGGATTGGCAACCTGGGTGGTTCTTCTGCTGGTCTTTTCTGGGATCACTCATGTGATGGCAGTCACCTGACAGCTTCTCTGGGGCTGGAAGGTCCCAGATGGCCTCAGTCAGGTACCTGGCAGCTGGTGCTGGCTTTTAGCTGGGACGCCTGGGTTCTCCTTCCTGTGGCCTCTCACACTCCAGTGGGTTTCTTCACAGCAGTGTAGTCTCAGGTTCCAAGGGTGCAAGATGAGAAGCAACAAGGCATCTTAAGGTCTACATCCCTTACCATTGTGTGTAGAGCTCATTCAGTGTCATTTCTTCACATTCTCTTGATCAGAGCAGGTCAGTCACAACGCCAGTCCAGAGTCAAAAGGCTGGAGAAATAGACCCCACCTAGTTACTGATAAGAGGAGCAGCTATGTAGCTGCTGTGGACTGAAGGTCTGTGTCTCTGCCCAGATGCGTAAGTTAAAACTCAGTGCCCCATGTGATGGTACCTGGAGGTGGGACCTTCAGGAGGTGCTTAGTCCTGAGTGTGAGGTCCTCATGAATGGGATTCATTTTCTTAGAAAAGAGACCCAGAGAGCTCCCTCACCATGCGAAGACACAAGGAGAAGTTGGCCATTTGTGAATCAGGAAACCAGTTCTCACCGCACACCAATTCTGCCAGCACCTTGACCTCGAACTTCCAGCCTCCAGAACTGTGAGAAATAAATTTCTGTTGTCTATATGCCACCCAGCCTATGGTATTCTGTTATTATAGCACAAACTGACTAGGACAGTCACAGAGCAAAGAGGCGTGGACACAGGGGAGCATGGTTTGTTGAGGGCTGTATGAGTCAGCTCAGGCTGCTGTAACAAACACTATGGACTGGTCACTATAAACAACACACAGTCCTGGTCTCCAGTCCTGGAGGCTGGAATCTGAGATGCAGGGGTGGGCAGGGCTGGTTCCTCCTGAGGCCTCTCTGCTCGGCGTGGAGACGGCCGTCTTCCCCCGTGTCCTCACCTGATTGTCCCTCTGTGTGTGTCTGTGTCCTGACCTCCTCTTCTTATAAGGACACCAAGTCATACTAGCCTGGGGCCTCACCCTTATGTGCTCATTTAACCTTAGTTACCTCCTTAAGGGCCTTATCGCAGCTCCAAATACAGTCGCCTTCTGAGGTGCTGGGGGTCAAGAACACATTTGGTCCACCAACAGGGTCATTATTCTCATGATCCCCCACACACTCTGGGGAAAACTGTCACATTCCAGGTTGACAGCTGTTTCCTCTCAGCACTTCAAAGATACTAGCCCGTTAGCATCCCCTGGGCAGAGGGCAAGTCTGCAGTGGGGCTAATGGTCCTTCTTTTGCAAACCTTGTGTCTTGTCATTCTGGTAGCTTTTATGACTTTTTACATTTTTGTATTTTTGAGAGTTTGCAGTTTTACTCTGTTTCTTGGTGTATGGGTCCCCTTGAACAACTCAGGGCTTAGGGGCACCAGCCCTCCTCAAAGTTGAAACTTGAAGTATAATTTCTAGCAGGCCCTCTGTACCCACAGCTCCACATCCAAAGATTCAACCAACCTTGGACCCTGTAGGACTATTGCATTTACTATTGGAGAAAACCACATATAAACAGCCCCACAGCTTCAGCCCATGCCCTGCCTTGCATTTCTGCAGTCACTTTGGGTCCACAGAGGCATTCAACTTGTTTTGGGGCACAGCTGTGCCTTTTTGGTTTTCCAAGTTTACAGCGTCTCTGTAGCTGCAAGGTCGGGAAGTCACCATGAAACACAATCTATTTCCCACTAGCATCCAGAGTGATCTTTGAGAGTCACAGTGCCCACGCCACCTCCTGAGGACCAGTCTCCAGTGAGCTTTGGTTGTTGGTCTGGACGATGGCAGCAACAACTCCGCCTCATCCCGAGAGAGCGGGGTTGGGGTGGGGCGGGCAGGGTGTCCTTTCAGGGGAAGAAAATGTTCTGCAATTCTGTTGTGGTGATGGTTGCACCATCCTGTGACTATACTGAAAACCACTGAATTGTGCGCTTCAAGTGGGTGTGGTGTGTTTTATGTAATTATAGTTCAATAAAAGTGCTTTTAAAAATAATTTCAACTCATCAAGCTGTTTTGAGGGGAAAATGAAATATTCTCTTAAGTTGGTGTCCTGAGATTCAACTGCTAAAGTGGGGGTGGTTCCCCGCACACCAACAAACAATTCTCAGACACTACCAGGGTGTCTGGGAATTCAACTCAGTTCTTTTTTTTTTTTAATGGTATCTCTTTATTTTTGTTTGTTTGTTGGTGGGGGGGGTATTAGGTTTATTTATTTATTTATTTTAATGGAGGTCCTGGGGATTGAACTCAGGACTCCATGCATGCTAAGCACGTGCTCTACCACTGAGCTCCACCCTCCCCTTCAGCTCAGTTCTGACACTCTCTACTTGAGGCGACATCAGATCCCACAGGTTACAGATTTAGTCCCCCAAGACAATCCCCCCTTCAGATGTCAGCTGCAAGTCTATGTTGTTACCTGCACTTCTGACCCACCCGCTACATACTGGAGGTTCCCACAGCCTCCTCCTTGGACATCAGACGCCAGTCCCAAGTGCAGGCTGTCACTTGTGCTTCTAACTGATTGGCTGTAAATCAGAGGTTCCCCTGAGCCCCTCCTCGGGGTGGATCAATTTGCTAGAGCGGCTCACAGAACTCAGAGAAACATGGTCCTTACTGGGTCACCGGTTTGTTATGAAAGGACGTAACTCAGGAACACTCAGATGGAAAAGATGCGCAGGGCGAGGTGTGGGGGGAGGGTGCGGTGCTCCCAGGTCCCCTCTGAGCGCCAGTCCCCCCAAGTCTGCCATGTTTGCCAAGGAAGCTCTCCAGACCTTGTTCTTTTGGGTCTTTATGGAGGATTCATTACACAGGCACGGCTGATTAAATCACTGGCCTTTGGTGACTGGTTCAACCTGCAGTCTTTCTCCTCTCCCTCCCTCAGAGGTCAAGGGTGGGGAGTTCCAGCCCTCTAGTCCATGGCTCATTCCCCTGGCAACTGGCCCCCATCCTTAGGTGCCTCCAAAAGTCACCTCCTTCCTAGAACTAGTGACAACTTTATGCTTGCAATACTTAGGAAATCCCAAGGGCTTGGGGAACTGTGAGACAGGAACTGTGAATGAAGATCAAATAGATATTTCAAATCACAGTGTCACACCTATAATCTCACAATGGTGCCCGATAAAGCCAGGCTGTCTCCAAATGTTAGTTCCCCTTCTTCCAGGTCTGACTTCCCCATTTAGCCTATGCCAACTAAAAACTGTCACTTGCCATCTGCCTCTCTAAGAATGAAGTCACAGTCGCTGACCTTCAACACACTCTGAAAGGAGTGCAGGGTGGGGATCGGGAGTGAGGTGCTCTGTGCTCTGAAAACCGGCAGAACACGCCTTCAGGTAGTTAGATATTTGTCAGGAGATTTTAGGAGCCCAAATTCTTGCATCTTCTCATGTCTAGAAAAGCTCTAAAATCATTAATGGAAATATCTCCTCTTCAAGACTAGCAGCAACCGTCTGCCAAAATGCATGCGTGATTGCACGTACCCGTCACGGAAGTCACGTAGACACTGACCTTCCCCCATCTCTTCAGAGCAGCTCCTCAGAGCTCTCTGGGAGGCTGTCTCCCGGGCTGTAGTCCTCATTTTGCCCCCAATAAAACTTAACTCACAACTCTCACGTTGTGCTTTTATTTTTCCAGTGGACACCACCAAGCATTTAGCTTGATGCTTAATTGCACACATTGCTGCACTGTCTGTAGTAACGATGGAAGTGAAAACACTTCAGTTCTATCTGTCTGACCTCAGTGTTCCCTACACAGACCCTATTCTTTCCCTCCTCTGTGCCTTTGCTTGAACTACCCCCTTCCCAGGAAGGCCTTCCTATCTGTTTATGTCTTTATCCTGCTCACTCTTAAAGCTCCAGCTCAAAAGCTGTCTCTCCAGCATCACTTCTTGGACCCCACCTTGACATGCCACTGGCTCCTCAAATGTCCCCAGTCCAAAATGTACCAAGTCCAAAATATTCTCACTCTCCCATTTCAATCTTCTCCGCCACCCTTGAACCCCCCTGCACATTTTCCCTGTCT